TTCACGTCTTCTGGCGTCGCCGCCAACAGTGTAGCAGCCCCACGCCTATCCAGTCTGCTCCATCTCTGGTCCCCTAGCTCTGGTGAGGGAACCGGCTTCATTGACAACCTTGTGAACTGGTCTGCCGCCTGGTACTTATCGTAGAACTCCTGAGCGTCTTGAGACAGGATGCGCCACCACTCTGCGCTTGAAGCCGAAAGATCGCTCATGACATGATCCATCAGGTACAGCCAATCCCCAAAGTCCACTGACGACGAATCAGATAGCTCCGGCAACTTCGGAGCCTCCGCTGCTTTGCTGAGCTCCTCTGGCTTTCCGCCTTTTATCACTTTCTCCAAGCCCTCCAAGAGCCTTGACATAGGGTCTGCGGTACCCCCATCAGCTCCCATACCTGAGGTTGCATGCGTACCTGAATCTCTTGTTGTCGTTGCATTCGCACACATAGACCTTGCTGGAACACCAGAAGCTGCTTGTAAGCCCGACACCATAGGTACACCCGAAGCTGCTTGCACCCCTGGCATCGTTGGCATACTCGAAGTTGCTTGTATGCCCGACAACATTGGCATACTCGAAGTTGCTTGCACGCCCGACAACATTGGCATACTCGAAGCTGCTTGTACGCCCGACGCCGTTGGCATACTCGAAGCTGCTTGTACGCCCGACACCGTTGGCATACTCGAAGTTGCTTGCACGCCCGACAACCTTGGCATACTCGAGGCTGCTTGTACGCCCGACGCCGTTGGCATAGTCGAAGCTGCTTGTACACCCGGAGCCAAATGCCCTCCAAGTGCCACGGGTGGGCCTGTCGGCGCTGTAAAACTTTGCTGTGGTCCAGACACCGTTCCTGCCTGGCTCTCTGCTTTCAGGCACTCCAGCTCTTGGCGTAGATCTTGAGCCTCCTTCCGAGATGCCTCCAACTGGCCAACGACACCACGCAGCTGTCGTTTCACCTCCTCTTGTACAGCCTCATATGTACTTCCTCCCGAGCTCCCTTCTTGCCTTTCACGGCCCAACTGGCCATACAGGTGAGGCACTCTCTGCTCCGTACGCCGCAGCTGCTCCTGTTGCTCAGGGCTCAGCAAGGTAGGGGCTGTCCAGTGACCTCCTTCTGACTCAGGAGATCCTGTAACACGACTCGTCCTTTGCGGTGGCGAGCCCATCGGCGAAGGCTGCCAGGGATTCTGCTGTTGTCCCCTCATCTCTTGAAAGAAAGCTCCCAGCCGCTGAATCCATGCAGGAGCCGTTCGCCTCGTAGCCATCACACTCCACGAAGCTTGAGCAGCATTCATCTGGTTATACTGCCCAGGAACATCAGCCAGC